GTGTTACATTGACCACACTGTTATTCCCCACTGTTGCCTCAATAATGACATTGGTTCTTCTACACAACAATGTTTTTCATCAATGGAATTCAAAACGTATTTTAAGCCTATTACTTATAAGCACAATCCTATTGAGTTTTGTGGCACTCCAAAGACTGGATGCTCCTGGATGCAAGATCTGCTGTATTTCTATGTCTCATTTGCTATGCCATGTCAAGGTCACCACTGTCGATTCTGACAGAAGGGAACGCCCATGTGTCACATTGTACAAATGCTACCCTCTTCCTCCTCTTCCTTATTCTCTCCTGTTCTATTAAATTACTGAGTCAGTCAGGCCCCTTCCAGCTTGCTCACTTTTGCTATTTTACTCTGACCCTTAACAGGTCCTCACTAAGCAGTTTGCAGATTAGACAGAAAAGCAGAACCTCTGAAAGCCAAACACGCGCCTTTATAGCATGTTTAGAATGAAGCCAAGGTCACTTGCCCCTGTTTAGCACAAGCAGCCTCAAAGAATGGCAGAAATCCTGTCATGGGATTCACCTCATGCAAGTGTAAACACATAGAAAGTAAGAATCTCCAACTGAACCAGGGTCCATCAACTCCTTTATAGTCACTACAAAGAAGTTATCATTTTTGGAGTATGATTTTTCTCATTCTAATATAAACAGAACAGATAATAAATTGTCCTCTGGAGATATCCATTTCCTACATTGACTAGAGATCCCACAGGGACTTGTGTCAATTGTGGACATCTGCAACATCTACTTAGAGGCAGGTTAATTGTACCGCAAGGATTTCAGAAGAACAGCAAACTGCTACAATAATACTCCAATTCTTTGAGCTTGGTGCTCATAACAGCAACCTGAGAACCTGCATTGAAAGAAGCCAAGCCTGGGACTTAGTAAGACACAGAACCTGCGTAGTGTTTCACTGCTCACCCACCCCTTCACTTTACAGTCAAACTAGTTTTACAGTTTCATAATAAAATGGCTGTCTAGAGATCCAAATAAGAAAAATCACAGAAAATATTGCTTAATAGTGATATAAATGACAAACAGTAATGACAACAACAACAACAACAAAAAACCAACCACAAAAAAACCCACACACAAACCCAGTAAACCAATAGCCTACAGCTATAGGTTTTGCCACTGAAGGCCTGACAGTGATAAAGCTATCTGAGCCCCAGTGAGAGATACCAGGCAGTATCTGACACACAGTTGTCAGCTTTTATGGTCACCAAGTCTTCCTTACACAGAAATATTCTACTTCAACACCACAAGAGGATTTATTTCTAGCCCAAATTTACCAAATAGATATGTATCTCCCTCCAAAGTTCAGAGGGAATGTGTATTATGTGTTAAGTGAAAAAGCCTTTCATCTCAAAGACCAGATACAGTAGAAGGCTTTCTCCTGGCTACACTTTCACCATTGACCTATGCCCAGTTCTACATAAACAAATCCTAGTTATGAAGAAAGGGTTACAGACAAATGGAGCAATCAGAGCAGCTTGCTAAGCATTTAGCCTGCCATGTTTCTCATTTTTAACCTAGTACTTTTCTCGTGTTTGCAATGACAGCAATTCCTTTACTTTTTAAGCTTGTAGAAACAAGTGTGTTATATATAGCTGTGGAAAAAGAAGTAGACTTACTAGCATGAAGCAGAATTACATGTAGATAAAGTAACAAAGTTATCTGTGTTTAAATGAAGGAGTTTCATTAGGTTTGGAATGAAGGATGCCAGAACACCATCCTTTTACTGTAAAATATTGTATTGAATTCCCATTTACCCCTTTCACACACTCCACTCTTTCCTCAGCAAACTTTCAATATCCTTATAGTAACTTCAGTGATACCAGGCAAGCGATGCCTGTAAGCTTAGTTACCTACCAGCTCTTATGCCATTCATCCTGCCAATGCTTATACACGTGCTTCACAAAACATGTCCACCCTGCAGCATTACAGCATATGCACTAACATGTTTACAAGATCAGAAACATACATTCTGTACTAACGCAAACTCCAGCTGACTTTCTCTTCTCTTATGCCAGCAACATAACAAGGAACAAGAAATTTTACAAGAGGCAGTTGGTACGTATTATTGTCCTACCTTGATATAGTGATCGATCCTTTCCACTGAGGTAAAGCGAGCTTCTGTCTCTGAAGCAAGTCTGACTGTAAACTGGAACAACCCTGTTAACTGGAGCAATGGGAGAAAACAAAGACAAATTTAAAGCTGTGATTTATTATTGAATTAAGAGACAAACCTAATGGATAGTGTGTCCATCAGGACCAGGGAAGCGATGGTCCCTCTGTACTAGGCACTGGTGAGGCCGCACCTCGAATGCTGTGTGCAGTTTTGGGCCCCTCACTACAAGAAGGACATTGAGGTGCTGGAGCGTGTCCAGAGAAGGCAACGAAGGTGAAGGGTCTAGAGCACAAGTCTTATGAGGAGTGGCTGAGGGAACTGGGGTTGTTTAGTCTGGAGGAGGCTGAGGGGAGACCTGATCGCTCTACAACTACCTGAAAGGAGGCTGTAGTGAGGTGGGGGTTGGACTCTTCTCCCAAGTATCAAGTGATAGGATGAGAGAAAAAATGGCCTCAAGTTGCACCAGGGGAGGTTTAGGTTGGACATTAGGAAATGTTTCTTCACTGAAAGTGTTGTCAAGCATTGCAACAGGCTGCCCAGGGAAGTGGTGGAGTCAACATCCCTGGAGGTATTAAGACATGTAGATGTGGCACTTCAGGACACGGTTTAGTGGTGGACTTGGCAGTGTTAGGTTAACAGCTGGACTCAATGATCTTAAAGGTCTTTTCCAACTTAAATGATTCTATGATATTTGATACAAGCACTCTCGGCATTGGGCACCATCTAGCTAAGGTGCCCAAGGCAAGTTAATTTTAGTTAACAGCTAATTTTAAAATAACCATAATTTATGAATCACTTGGAAAGCCGGCAGTTTAGAAAGGTTTCCCACAAGGAACAGCTCTAAATACCAGTCGTCTAAGTTCTGTAATTTCACCTTACTACCACCAGGAGGCAGAAAAGGCCAAGCAACAGCTCTAACAGCGAGTATTCTGAGCCCTGACGTCCACCTAACCTGCACAGCTGGGACACTGGATGCTGTTCACTGTGAAAACATACTGCAGGCAATACGTTAAGACATCAGTTTAGCAGATGCCTGATCTACCGTCAATTAAGTTTCTGGAAATATCCAGGAAAACTGCAATTTGCAGCATACAAAAAGCCTAAAACAGTTTCTACTTCATTTAAAAAGAGGCAGCTCACCAAAACAGTCTTAAGCACCTAGCTCCTCATAATTAGTAATCTGGCTGCTAGCAAAAGGTCCTGACTCTGAATTGCTTTCCCTTCCATTGCCAAAAGGGGTAAGTATCTTTTTCCATTCTAGGGCGTTAAGTTTTCAATGGTGTGTTACTTTTACTTACTAATGATAACTACATTAAATGAGAAATTAAATATTACAGTATGTGGACATACCTGCACAGCATATGAGATAGCCAGCCCAGCATAGGCAGGAGGAATCTGGCCATGCATTAAGACAATCATAAGGCCAGTGGTTGTAATAAGAGCAATGCTGATAATGTCCAGCCGCACAGCTAGCCAGCGCATTGCACAGCTGAACAGGTAAAATGGTGCCTGATTATCATCTAAGAGCTCCTGATACCTGAAACAAATACAGGAAAGGTTAGTAGTCCTCCGCAAGCCTCATGTTCTACAAATAGCAGAGCTACTTAAATCCCTGTTCCAGTATCAGAATTCAGGGTGGGAAGACTAGTCTGTCATTGACATAAAATCTCAAACTAGGCCATGAAAGCAGGGTTTACAAACTTTCCTGATTAATGTCAGATACCTACTTAGCTCAAACTCTCAGAAGTCAAATTACCAAGTTTCTGTGTACAACAATGAACTACACTGGGGTGAATCAAAATTCAGGGACATAGCACACACTTTCACCACAACTTCACCTATGCAAGACCTTCCAGAGGATGCTTGATTGCTACAGATTACTCCCCAGGTAACAGCATCAGTGCTTCAGAATACGCACAGAATAGGTGTTATTTTAACCACAAATGTAGAAGTAAAATTACAGGTTTGATAGGATTGGTGATACTAATTAAAACACACCAATAACCCCTTAATTTACAATCCTGACACTGCAGAGCTGAGAAAGTATATTTAAGGGGAGACACTTGAGAGAGTCACAAAGCCAGTAACTTGATTTTCTCATCATCCATCTCAAGTTTTACACCGATCATTGCTGCTCAGCACATGCAGTGCCTTAGTGCTCTAGCACCAACAATGCTAAGGGACTGCTATTTGCAGCTCTGCAACCTTTCATCTAAGCTGGTGTAGCCGCGTTTTTCCAGAGCTTCTGTGGCAAGTTTCCCTGTGCTCCCACACTGTTGGTCTCATGACCTTGCGCCTGCACAACCCTGATACTGTTATGGCAGGTTCTCAGGGGAAGCAACTACCAGTCACATGAGAAATGCTTCACTTTCCCTCACTAACATTTATTTTGCAGATTTTAGTTTATACTAGAGAAAAACCAAGCATAGTGCACAAGGTGGCTAACGATCACTCAAATACTTGATAAATGCCATCCAACTACATATCTGCACAGAGACTAACAGCTCATCAATATGCACATGGAGGTTTTGTTTGCATGCTCTAACCAGTGCTAACACCATCACAAGGAGAAACAACCACTAGAAAGTATGAGCGGGACCTGATGAAAAGCATACACTACAAAGGAAAAAGTATGGCCAAAAAATTGTCCTCACCATTATCATGGCCACCTGCTGTACCACCCAGAGGAGGGCATTCACCTGGGACTCCACCACTGTTCTTCCCGGTTGGCTACTGGGGAGTTTTCTGTAGCCTCCTTCTTCCTCATTTTTGCCCCCCAAAAAGTAACTTTCACTCTTAGAGGCAATGCATGTCATCAGCTATAGACCCCACTAATAAATCTTTCTGAGTGTTGCATCCTGCTTTGTGCTTCACAACTCAGATGGACACCTAGACTGACCTGTGCAGAAATTCCTGTCCTTTGTGGTAGGCATGGATTGTGGAGAGACCCTGGATGCTAGATGTGATATGAGAGAGGAACGGAGACTGCGTGATGTTGTCCAGACGCTTGAGCTCTCGAATAAAGACTCTGGAAAGAAAGAAGCAGCTTTAAGTGACACATACAACCACCGTAATGCCAACCACTACATTAATGCACGTATACTTGAAGAACCCTATGTCCTTACAAACAGGTCAAAGTGTCTCTATTTTTAGTCAAAGCAGCTGACGCACTTACCTAGACACAACATGTAGAACCGTGAACAGGACAATGAGGGGCCCCACTGCCACCAGGAACCAGGGGAAAACCCCAGAAATCACCCCCACACAGAAGAACACAAGAATGACATTCTGGATGAACATTTCTGCTTGAAATGGCAAACGAACATCAACTGGAAAAGATGGAAGGAAGAGAAGAAGACCTTGAGTATAGAAAACTAAAACAACCTATATAAAGCAATTCAGTCCAGCTGTACATTATCATTGACAAGGACAGTGATTTTTCATGGCTTATTCAAATTAAAAATTTACATTTTCATTAGGGGTGCTTTTATCTTCTGAGATGCTAGTAGTCTGTCCAATTATTCCCATTTGCAGAAATAGCACTGATGCAACTCTGACCTAATTACAACCCTTGCTGCACATCAGCTTCACCCTGAAACTCTAGGTTCCCCCTGCATTAACTGCTAAGAGTCCATGTGCAGCTTGTAGGTACAAAAGCACATTTTCTTCTTTTTAAGTGAACAGACAGACTTGAGGTATCAGCTGCCTTCTAGACTCATAACCAGGTATGTCCCAATTCCTGCTTTGTCTATTACAAGTACACATTTGGCAATAGGGTATGATCACTCCAACAGCAAGAGACTGAAGAGTATTAAGGAGGTAACTCGGTGGTCTGAATGTGGGATTTACAGCGCATACAGTGAGATACCTTCATCCATGTCTTTGGAAAACCTGTTGAGAATCCGCCCAGTGGGTGTAGTGTCAAAGAACTTCATGGGGCTACGCAGAATCCGCCGGAAAAGCTCATCGTGGAGCCTTGAGGATGCTCTGAGAGTTCCCTGACAATGCAGAAAATGTTGCAGCATTATGAAAGGATGTTTGCCTTCCTGTCACTGCCCCTCCCCTGGGGACCAAAACATTCTGCTCATTTTCTGCTTCCAACCAAGCATTCTGTGCTTCCAACCAGCGGGAGGAAGCTATTAACTGGGCTGAAGTTTAATGGAATGCATGGTGCAGCCCCAAGAGATGACTTATGGAAACCTCACAATCCATGGTCTGACTTCCTCATTCAAAACCTCTCTTGGGAGGTGGCCAAAAGAACCATGGTGACAGCAATATGCAGAAGCAGGCTGGGGGCAAAGGGATGGATATAAAAGAAACAGCAGCATTGGCACATACCTTTACAAAGACGACGCCACGAACAGCTTTCAGAATCAACATAACTGCCATAGACAGTGTGTAGATGCCAGCATAGTAATGCATGCGAGGGTTATCTTTCATACTGTTGCTTATGACAGTATCATTTCCCAAAGTCACAGTGGTGTTCTGCAGAAAATTCAAAGTTTCAGTGAATAGTTAGTTAAGACACAAGTTAATCACGTACACATTACACGCAGCAGAATTCAACTGTCCTGTCTCCTCCCAACATATTTGATACTTCTTCTTTAAATAAAGTACTTCAGTGATCTTTGAATGCTTCAGAAAGTTCTCCCTAGCAGACATACTTGACTTGCAGATTTGTAGCCCTCAGCCTTTTACCCACAATATCTTTGTAAATAATACCACAATACCGACTTCATGCTTATTTCCTGTGTTCTTCTGAACAACACCAGACACATGCATACCACCACTCCTATTATACATTAAAATTCTCCTTGGATAGGTTGTACATTGTCTTCTTATCAAATACAGTTGTTATTTTCTGCCAGTATGCAGTAAATTCCTTACTGTCACACTAGTGTATATTCTCATTCTCTTTTTTTCAGTCTTTAAGTATGTTGAAGGACCTCTGCTTATTTTAATATTGTTGGCCATCTGCAGTTCATTATTTCTTCTGAGGTTAGTAGTTTGCTCCCCTCACCTGTAAGAGTCAGTCCAATACCAGCATTGTCTCAACCTTGTCATCAGGGATATGGACAGTAAAATACCCCAGAAGTTAGGCTAACATCTTGACATGAGTCTGCAGCGGCCTGCCTGAGCAGCAATTCCTGATCCTGGAAACGGAATTCCAGGCTTGTAAGGTCATTATGCCCTGGACAGAGCAAGGACGAGGGCTGCCTTTGGCAGGAAACAGCAAAACGATAGAGATGCTGCTATCTGCTTCTCCCTTCTAGAAACCTTGTGGGGGAGATAACAGCCAAAGGAGGGAGCTTTGTGGAGGCAAGACGGCTCTGTTTTGGCTAAGGAGCGCTGTGCCGTTCTCCAGCGCCAGGGATGAGCCTGAGAACCGTTATCAAGAAGGATCAATCAGCATCGATGGAGCCAAGAAGAGGCGGAGATACAGAGGAGCAGCAAGGGGTGCTACTTGGCATAAAAAGGGGCTCCTCAGCACCCAAACTTTGGAAGCTTTCCCCACCAAGGATCATGACGATCATTAGGACTGGCGGGACGCTGCCTGGACCTGGGACCATAGGGATGCCTTAGACCCATGGTGGTAGCTATTGATCTTCCTCTTTTCACTTTACTTTCTCCTTTCCTTTCACCCTCTTTACCTATCGCACGCTGCTTTATGGGCAAAGTTTCACTGTTTGATTGCAGCAAACGCCTTTGGCGTTGTCATCTTCACTTTGAGATCATAGCAGACAAACCATCGCAAGTCCACTGAGTGGACCATGACATCACCAAAAAAAAATCTTGCAGTTACATTTGAATCTTTAAATGCAACAAGAATTGCAATTAAAGCCCCTAGAGTGGGAAAAGCTCCGAACCATCCCAGGTCATCACAGTCTTCAAAGCAACTCCCAAAAGTCATCTGACTTAAAGCTGTATACTTTAACAAGGTTATCCTGTCAGATGTAAGGTCACGTTCAGACAAAAGCCAGCACTACAATTAGTAATTCTTCCTGCAGTTTGTTGGTGCCTTTCACATTTTCACTTCTTTTTCTTAGACTAACCAAAACAAGGAACAAGAGGGCAGCCTAAAACCACATGAGTTATATCTTTCTTAGTGGAGCTCTCTTATTCTTGGAGATTAACTCTCTAGTGAGATTGCCTCCCCTTACAGCTTGCTTAAATTAGGAAGTACCATTTGGTCTCATAGGACTGCTTGGGATTAGTCTAGGAGAGCAATTCCCCTGCCTGGTAGACACAAGAGAGTAGGAAAGCTATTTATCTTACTCCACTGCCTTGCTTGATCCAGAAACTCAGCCACCAGTTGCTAAAAGCTGTACTGCCCACATTCAGCACAAACAGTGCCATGATGACAAGGAATGCAAAGGGGCCTCCAGCTGCCTGAATGTAGATACCATAAACAGACCAGGGGACAGAGCCTTTGCCTTTCTCTTCCAACTGGACCAACTGGCCTGTGAAACAAAAGAAGAGGAAGAAATGAGGAAAAGAAAGATGTTCCATGAAAATTCTGTAAGCTTGTGAACATACACAAAACTACAGTCATTTTCAAACTGTACAGAGTACTTTCAGAAAGACAGACATTACTTAAGACGTAGAACTCAACAGTTCAGTTTTTCAGAAAGTCACATTTCCTCTGCAGAATCATTCACATCACGGTGTGTCCAAGAAAAGCATAATCAGCACAGACTTAAACATTAGGCTTGTATCAGCCTCACTATTGCTTTTTAAACCCTGCTGAAGGTTCAAAGTTAACAGTAAACAGAGAAATCCACAAAACAGAGGTCAGATCTTCCAGTTCTTCACACATAAATGCCATGTCCTGCCTAGGACGCTGCGAGTACCAAGCTATGCACATTGCCCTCTTAGTATAGGAGGGAGAGCTGGTGGGGGAGATAGGGTGCTACAAGCTCCTTTGTGTCAACGGCACCTGACCAGCAGCAGCCTGATTGAACTTAAAAATATTGTACAGGCATCTATATTTAATGAATTAATGAAGGTTCTTTGTCCACTGCTTGTGTCCTATCAACCACACTGAGTGACCAGGACTGGAGACAGCTTTCAAAACCCAAGTACATTCACAATACTTTGAAAGCAAGTGTTTTGAGCTTATTGGTGTATAAAATAATTACAGCGAGAAATCTGATTACATAGTTACCCTCTTCCTTCTTTACAACTTTCTCCTTCTTCACAGACCCTGTTTTGGTACTTTTATCCTGGGGTCTTTTCAGTGAACTGTTTGTGTTCTTCTTTAGATTAATCTGCAGGAAAATAATGACACTAAACATACCAGAGTAATTTGCTTTGACATAGTCACATCTGAACCCAAACTTTTTATAAGCTGCCTCCCAAGGACAACAGCTTCCAATAGCTTTGCATTCATATCAAGGAGGATATTGACTTCGCTGCTATTATGGATGATTGACAACTCTGGTGAATTAAATTCTCCTCTTCTATTAATCTGAACTGCTATCAACCTGTACGGCTTGTGTGCAAGGTTAATTTCCAGAATCAGTGACATTATGTACATACATGGTAGAGGAATGACACCCCTACTTCTGAGAGAAAGATACAATCCCCCTGTCCCTTGTAAAAATAACTCACAACTTTATTAAAAGGCTTTTTCTCCCCAAATACCCTACTACTACACTCAGGAAAGCTCTCATGAAATGTCTCTTAGGATGAAGTCATGTTAACTTGGTCTTCCAGAAATCCAATGTCCAAATACTAAACCGCACACACACTTGCTGTTCTAAACCCAGCCACCTTCACACAAAAGGAATTTACAACCTGTTCAGCCTACATCGATTGAAACCCACTACACAGCATCTTCACTTTATGTGACAAGAGACATCTAACACGTGTCAAACCACAGAGACTCTAACTTTACCACCCATTTCTTCTTATCCCATCAGGAATGCAAATTAATGCTTCCTTGAAGCCAATGTTTGCATGCTTAGCTGACCTTCACTTTCTCTGTAGACTGAGAATCTAGCATTAACCATCATTACATTAAACTTGAAGTGGCAGAATTATAATCTTCATGCCTTGGAAAGGATATATAGAGCAACGCATTGTATTCTTTTGCTTCTTTCACTAACATCTTCCAAGAGAAAATTTCACCAAGCACCTTCTATATCTGTACATTTATCACAATGCTACCTTTCCAGAAACTTTTTTCTTTTTAAATGTTGCAATGTGATAACAAGGAGTCTCTCATCTCTTAAAAAATAAACTGCGGATGCGCTTTTTAATCTCTTCTTAAGAGAAAATGCACACAAAACTTAGTAAATCATCATCAAATAAAAAGCAACAAAGTTGTTTACTCCAAAGAATAACTTCAGGAAACAAACGGGAGAAAGGTGGGAAAAATTAAATTGCTGAAAATTGAAATGCATGTCCTACCAAATGGTTCTATTTTCTAGATCTACATTTTTCCCACCAACTAAAATGCTAGAGTACAATTCCAAGTTTGCATTTACAGCCATTGTTTCATAACAGAAGCAGCGTCGAGCAGTAATTTTTCCTCAAAACCCCCCAAACCAAAGCATTTGCAGTTACATTTCAAAAAAGTCATATCTAACTTTTGTCAAGTTGCATCACTTTTCCTGTGCCTCAGTCATACCCTATGTCAAAAAGAAGTAACAAACCAGTAAGGATTGCTTCAGCCAAAGGTTGGTCCAGGTCTGTGCTGATTTGGAGGTAAATTAAGGAGAAGTGTGGTGTACAGTAAAAGAGACAATAAGCTTCCTGCTCTGAGCATCACCAGAGGAGACGATAGATTACTTTCATGTCCAACTCATGAGCTCATTGGCAGAGTCTTCTCTACTACGCACTCCCTAAATACAAACTGTGACTGCAAATACGAAGTGCTAATGAAGCACAGGTTATTCCACAGGAAATCCATTGGCCAGATCAACAAATGAACATGTGAAGCCATTTTCCAGTTTTCCAACTACATCATTTGGTTCATCTCATCAGAAAAGTCATCATTCAGAGCAGTAAAATAAACAAACAAGTACCTCAATATGTGGTGTTTCTCCCAGCTGTAGGTTATTAAAAATAGTTGCATAGTCCCCATTTAAATTCATCAGTTCCTCATGACTTCCTCGCTCAGTAATGCAGCCTTCTTTCATGAAGATCACTTCATCACAATCAACAAGATACTGGAGAAAATGGCAGTAAGAACAAGCCTTTTATCATTATGTCCAATAATCAGACACTCTCCCACACAATCATTTTCAGTAATTTATAGACAACACATCTCTTCCGAAATAACACACATCCGATTTTTAAAGGTCCTGCATTGACAATAGCAGCATGATTACTCTCACTGTACGCAAATAAAAAGTTTTTATGTTCTGTCAAAACCAATCTGTTATAGAAGACACAATCCAGGATACTTAAACACTGCAAATACCGATATACTAAGCATTAATATTTCTATGCACAGAAGGTAGCAAAAAAAAAATCTCAGAATACCTCCATTCTGATTTACTGACACCAAATCTAAGTTTTTCTGGTGTGACAAACTAGCTCTATAGCAAGTCAACAAAAGTGGTTTTGAACAAGGTATTTATTTCTCTGGTAAATTTTCTTTAGCCAAGTGTTACCAGCCCAGATCAGGCACCAAGCAGCACTGGCATCAAATAAAGAATTAGTTGTGCTTAGTGCATATTTGCAAACCTACCTTGGCGCATACTTGCAAAGACATATTTGCTGTAACAGGTCAGGGCATCGAAATTTCCAGTGTGAAGGCAACTGACTAAACAGTATTTCAAGAAAGTCCAAGAAAGAAAGTATGAGAAATGTAGTACCTGAAGCTGATGAGTGATGAAAAGGACAGTCTTTGACTTGAGGTGCTTCCTTATTGCACTGTTAAAAATGTGATTTCCAACATGAGCATCTAAGGCACTAAGGGGATCATCAAGGATGTAAATGTTCCTGTCACTGTACAGGGCTCGAGCCAGACTGATCCTCTGACGCTGTCCTCCACTCAGGTTAGCCCCTCTTTCACCAATCTGGACAGACACACACCCATTATTTTATTTCTACAGCACCATGCAACACAGATATTCAAAGCTCAAGAGGTGACCAGAAAAAAGCAGACCATAATATTTTTAATATATATATTTATTTATACACACACACAGAAAAACACCATAAAATTCTATACTGTTTTAACACATACATATATTTTAGTTTAGGTGCCCACTTCTTTAAAATGTGTTATCCATTTAAACTCAAGGCTAATATCCTTGAAATGTGGCAGTACATTTTCACTTATTTTACTTCTTTTTGTATTAACATAGTCATGCTTTTTTCTTAGCTATTTTAAATCAAGTTCAAATAGGTCCTCTTAAGGTAGCTAAATTTACAATACTATAAAAAACTCCCAAATTGTCACCATCCAAGTCAAAAACATGGCACAACTCTCAATAGCTCAGGGCCTGCATTGATAAGCTTAGCATAAGAAGGTGCACTCAACAGCTTGGCTTATATGCATACCAGATGGATGGTCCCCTCGCTCCAGTCCAGTCTATCAAACCAAAACTCTGCTTTTCTCCAGCCACTAAATAGTTTACTACAAGCAAAATTTATACCTCTGTCAGGTCCCCATTTGGAAGGATGGCTAGGTCAGGCCTTAGACAGCAACCATTCAACACCGTGTTGTATCTAAAGAACAATTAGATATATAGTTAAGAACACTGTTTCCCCCCCTCCAAGTATCAAGCTAGTACAGCATTATCTCACTTTCTACTAACAGCAGCCATTCCAGCAGCCTAAAACAAATGATCTGCCTTGGATTCCCAGGAGGAAACTGAGGATAATAATTAATCACCTGCTTCTGCAGTACAGTGAAGGTAAGGAGGCAATTTCTTTAAAGGGATAGCTAGGACAGACCCCAGGAAAGGCCCCCACTCAGGGAGAGCCATGGAAGGTGACAGTACATTGTAAACAGCAGTTGTTGTGTTTAAAGAGGGCAAGTCCCGGCAGAAGAGCAAATGCCATTTCAGGGCTGCTCCACAGCAGCTGCTAAAAGCAGATCAGACAGTACTCCAGCATGAGGTACAGCCCTCACTGCAAGTGAGCAACGACATGCACTGACAGCCATCAGCCTCAGTGACCACATGCAAGAGAGGCACGCTCTTAAATGAGACTTCAAGGAGTCTTAAAGACAGAATCTAAAAGGATACATAGGCTTTAACTGCAGTGTACTCTACATTAAAATTTTTCCCACATTTGGGGCAAGAATTACTAAGTTTTCAAGAAAATCAGCAAACAGTTCTGACAAACCTTTCTTCATCGTATTCCTTGCCAAAAAGAATGTTGTCCCGAAGTGTAGCGTTGAGAATCCAGGCCTGCTGGGCCACGTATGCAAACGTTCCACTTACTGCAATGCTACCCTCCAGCAGGGTCATCTAAATTAAAGATAAACTGTGAAATTATGCTATCCCGTGTTTAGAGTACATAGTCTTCTACAGAGTACAGAAGTGAAATAGGAGATAGGAAAGTGAAGAGCAGAAGTAGTCAAAACAGAATTTCTCACCTGTCCTAAAATTGCTGAGATAAGTGAAGTTTTTCCGCTCCCCACACTGCCACAAATTCCAACAAGTTTTCCCTAGACAGAAAAAAATTAAGGTACTCATTTGTTACATTTTCCTTTCCTTTCAGAATTTGGACTACCTTTAGTACCTCTGAGGGGACAGACAGGTGGATAATAATGACAGCTGAAAAAGACACATAACAGACAAAAGAAAAAGGCAAGACAGTCGGTATTTTAACACTCAAATAATACAGAGTGTATGCTATCCCACAGCGGACTAAGACTGAAGTCAACTCTATAGGTAAAAATGAATGTATTTTAAGATCAGCTTCCTTTTGACTGAGCCTGACACAGGTGCAGAGAATGCTGCATGCAGCCAAAAGCACCAAGGCCTGCCTGAACAGAATGCACCAAGAGTGGCATTTGAGAGCAGTAAGGAAAGATAAAAAGAGGGAAAGACTGAAAGACAAGCAGAATTTAGGATATATGGGCCGAGTAAAACTTGCCCATGAGATGCAGTTTGCTAAGGAACACATACCAAGGAAAGGCTAGAATCCAGTCACTTTGAAGCAATTCTCTGCAATAAAATGGGTGGGTTGATACCCACATTAAATAATTCATCAAAACTATTTTTGTTCCTTTTGTAAAAAAAGGTAAGGTGGACAAGAAGTATATAGCCACTCACAGAACACATGCTGGCCTCCTCTCATTTACAAACTTCTGATAGAAAATGAGCTTTTACATTTCTAAGTAACTCTGTACTTCTTTTTCAAGGCTATTTTTAAATTATATGCATCCTTCTCAAAAGTTTAAGATATAGGGGGGTTATAGTTTAAAATAGTTCAAACTATCCCTCTACTCATATGACTGCAGGAGACAATTTAACCATAAATATCTTGATAAACGCATCAATCACATTACTACAACATCCAACTGCCAGACTGCAAAACTTCTGTATTCGTAAAAGATATCATGTATTAAATTCAATGCCTTTTCTTCGACATTTTACATGTTTTCACTCGTCTTTGAAAGTAAACTTGAACTGTTTCTAAGTTCTTGAAAATCTCTGTGTCCTTCTACTGTACAAAAACTCTCAAGAAAAGTCGCACATTCTTCAATGAAAAGTACTGTTATGCTCCATTAGAACACCTAATCTCCCAAAACATTCATCCAGAATATAGCTGAAACCCTGCAAAACTATCAAATGGCTGCAGGAATACACCATCCACCAATAGGCCACTGATATCCCTGTTGCCCTGCTGACTCTTTCAGCTCAATGGCTCATATACTGTACTGAGAGCTACGAACAGTAATCCCATCAGTTAGACATGAAAGCTATACAACCCGCAGCTGTTTCATCGGCTGTTTGCAAAGATCCAGTTTGCTAAAGTGGCACAGCTGTTTACACCAAGATCAGACACTGCATCCTGGATACTGCAGTTGCCATGGATATTACAGGAGTGCACAAAAGCAATATGCTCCATTTCATGCAAAAACACTCAGCGCTCTATTCCAAGGGACAGCTAAGAATGAGGCCTTCCGCAAGCTCAGATTTCCTCCTTTTTCTCTCTTACCTTTTCTATCTCCAAGTCAATGTTGTAGAGAGTCCTCTGAAGCCGAAGGTTAACCAGGTGGATGATTTTGTTCTCCTCTTCAGGGCTAGGATGGTCATCATTGTCCACTAGAAGATGGCCCTTCTGTTCTGCCAGCACAGCTTGCTGTCCCTCATTCTGTAGCTTCATTTTCTCTTTCTTGCCCTTGGTGACTTTCTTGTCTTTTTTCACTTTGGGGGTCAACTTTGGTGAGCTCTGGACGCTGGCGTGGGAGAAGTCCCAAGCCAAGGTAGCATTTTTCACCTCTATCGCGGTGTGAGGATTGGCTGGTTTTTTCTTTATCATATGAACCTCTTCCATTAGAAATAAACTCTGATAGGAGTTGTGAGAGAGGTGTAAAGATGAGACACCTGATCAAGACTGGGAGACAAGCCTACGGCACACTCACGCAGCAAAACACATCAGGCTATATAGTAGGAGGAAGCTGAAGAGCAAAAGGTAGCTCATTAGTGTAAACTAACTCCAGGCCTGCTTTTTATTCCTGGATGTGGTGGAAGCACTTAGATACACTAAGACTTTTACAGAACTGCAATACTCTAGATGCAATATGAGGGGGGCTTATTCTTTTAACACTGCAGCTCTAATTTCCAGATTAAAGACACCGAAGCAGAATAGATGGGTTGGAGAAGAGAGGTCACTTTGGGGAAAAGTGACTGACTTATCCTGCACACCAACTCGTTATGGAAGGAGACGGAATGACTTAACTTCAGCCTTCAACTTTTCTGCTGGGAAAGTCATCTCACAAATTTAGCTGACAGTAAGTAAGCCATTATGTCCATTGTATCATGTTTTCCACCACATCCGTCAGTATTTACAATCAACACAGATCAGGAAGAGATTTTTCACACAGTTTAATTACAAGATAAAATGCCTTCCACTTATATAATTTATGTTTTGAACTAAGAAGCCTTTTGTTATCAAAGAACTCTGAATTCTCAGCCTTATTTAGTCTTGCAATTGCTATGCCCAAATCATACGTTCATAAGAAAGCTCACACTCATTTACAGAGCCAAAAAGTCAGTTACATTTTTACTGTGATGTTAAGAGTATCTCCACCTTGCGTTACACTCCCTACACAGATTACACTGTTTACAGTCGAATTGGGAGACATTATAGTTTCCCCTCTCATTCTCTTCCCCCCCATCCAAAATTCCCTTCAGTGTATTTGGAATTAAGAAAGCCTGATTTCGGGTGACTCAGAAGGTGAAACAAAAATGCTCAAAAGCAATTGAATCTCAAAACCATTCTGTAGAACCCATTCTTCTCTCACACAGATTTGTTTTGTGAATGCATTACACAGAATCCATATGTCAACGTTTGTAGGGAATCCTATTTGGAAATTTCTGCAACATGCAATCCATTATTGTCTTCAAGAGACAAGACAAAATAAAAGCCTGTCCTCTGACTTCACACTAAATTACACAGTGGATTCACTTCACAGGGATTGAAGGAGGAGATAGAATTGTCTGTTATAAGGGTTTCAATTTTCTGCCATAGATTCTGTTTTGTCAGATCACAACTGCATTTAATTCATATAGTGGAGCTTCAGTCACTTAATTTGGCCTGGAAATACAAAACCCCAGTTTTTCATGACTACAAATAAAACTCCACTGGTTTGTACAAAGCTGCCTACATAATACATGACATTTCCAAAAAGTGTTTCATTAACAAAACCTGAAATTTCATTGCAGGCATGTTGCACTGTCTTTTCATGCAGATGGTCTTAAAAGGGAGTTTAAGAATTATTATACTGTGAGCCATCTAGTCCTGTATTCTATCACTTACAGTGGCCAACATCAAAATCCTAAAATAATTAAATAACAGTATTTTGCTTCCCACACTGGTATTATCTTAAACATCTACATTTCTTCACTAGATTTGTATTTCTTTTGCAGAATCAAATAATCTGGAGCACTAAGTGTAAAGAAAAAAAGATCTTTTCAGTCATTAGAAAACATCACCTTCCGAATGTTCCCTTAGTATGTTATACACATACAACACTCCACACTTACAGTTAAAACTGCAAGGCCAAATGACCGCTTACCTTAAATCTGTCAACAGAAACAGATGCCTCAGATAGAGACTTCACTGAGAAAGGTGTTACTTTTAGAGCAAAAGTCATTGAATTAAAGACAGTGACCACTGTGAACGCCTGAAAATGAGACAAGAAAGAGAATCACATTTGGACCAATATATCAACAACTCCAACCTTCTAAGAGCTGAAATGTCACAGTAGCAATTCAAAGCCATAGAGAAGACCCGCAGTCCAAGAACAGCCAATTAAATATTCAACATATTCTTGAACAGCAGGAAGCAGGAGATCTACCCAACTCTTTCTCCAATGCTTTGTAACAGACCAAGACAGACACCTTCAGTGTTTGTAGCTCTACAGAAAGCAGCAGCTAGCAAATTCTGCACTAGCCTATTACTTGTGAAGACCCAGGTTCAAATCCTGCTGTAAGACACCTGTGCTGTTTGCATCCAAGCACATTGTAAAACAAAAGCATCCAGTAATCCCAATGCCCTACCTGAATAGCAAACAGCAGTGCTTGTTTACATTCAGCTCAAAGTCTGTTTTGGGGAAGGTCAGGACTGAAACAGCTTTTTGTTCAAAAATCTAAGTCTACATGTGCTGCTGCCACACCCATCAGATGTTCACCTCTGAGCAAGGCTACAGCCTGGCCACACAGGCACAGCCACAAGGCAAAGAAAATTATGAAGAGAAAAGGTTTAGCAGAAAAGCTACTGTAGCAATATTGTAAAGAATGTTTTTAACACTGCAGTAAGGTACCTGAGCTGCTGTAAGATCGTAGCCAAGGATCATATGGACAGAAAAGGTCACAACGCTGGCAATGACCACAACTATGGGAGCCACACCCACGGTGATGCTCTGGAAGTAGCCCGCACGCTCTAAGATTTTACGTTCTTCTTCACGAATTTCTAGAAATATAAATAGAGGCGCCACATTTGAAGTATGATTCAGCGGTACGTACACAACAGACACTACCATAGCACTATAAACACTGAGCAAGAAAGGCCTAACTCTACGCTTTAGCATTTATCATGTTATATACCTTCTCATAAAGACCACAGTTACAGATGAGCAAACTATAATGATCTGTAAATCTCCACCAGAATAAAGGCCTTTTTACTTTATTTAAAAATGGAGCAGCCAGTCACAACCATCATTATGCTAGAAGGTGAAACTTCAGAAGCAGGTCTGTCTGTCCAACCCACCATGCATAACAAATAGGAAGCCTGAAGGATGAAAGTTTTATTATGCTGCATGTACATCAACATCTATGGTACTAAGCTAGGAGGATGCACCAGGCTACTAAGCACTGTGGCATCTGCGCAAAAGGCAACATTTATAGGTTGTGTGAACTCACTTTGAACATTCTGAGAAAATGGTTTGACCCAGGCATACATTTTAATGAACTTAATGTAATTAAGAACTTCATTCATCTTTTGCACACGCTCATCTGTTGTCGATACACATTTTCTTCTGAAATAAGCTGTAAGGCGTGATACAAACATCTGAAACAAAAGGCAACACCATGCAATATTAATGGCAACTCAGAGCAAGTACATTCAACTCCTCCTAATTACCAGAGAAAGCCAATTTCGAGTCCGAAAAAGAGATTCAGGGATGGTGCAAGGCAACTGTCGTTCTAACATAAAAGTCTGGCTGGAAACACTATTCATATCCTCCCACCCCAACTGCACTGAGCACTGGGCTCATGATAGCAAGTTTAAACAAAAATAAAATTTGTGACAATAAAGGCGTGTGCTTTTACCAACACTGAATAGTACCAGATTTGTTAAAGTTTCTGAAGCACAAAGACTACAAACACCATTAACCTAAAGACACACCAAGTTGACTCTTGTGGCAAGTGAACAGTACAACCTGTTTTAGCCAGCTTTTAACCTGGTCCCATAGGGCAAAAAAGTGAGCTGGACTTCGCACAGTCAGATCAATTTCTACCATATGCCAGTGCTATGAAGGTGGTAAAACAGTTTTAACATTTTTACTACACCAATCTAAAAAGAAATACTTGTACATGTGTTTCTAAGTATCTGCTACTCTTACATTTATATCCCATTCCTGGTCTGAAATTCAAAACCAACACACTACTTTAAGTTCTCAGCTCCTTGCCCTTCTTGATACTCCTGCAATCTGTTTCGGAGTCCCCATCAACAGAAAAGGGCTGCTGAAAAGAACTGGAAAAGATAAAACTCCACTCCTTGTTTCCCTCAAATACAATTCCCATTATTTTAATCCTCACTGTTGGCCAAATAAATTGGACCTTACAGTATTCAGCCCCCATGCTTTTTAAAGGTGTATGATGAATACAGCGCCAAATCTTCAGCAGCCTCACAGGGCATTTTAGAAGCAAGATTTTGGGTTGAACTAGCCTATTTCACAGCTCAGCAGAAGTAAAGGCAGGAGTAACTATTCAAGAACACCCTTCTCCCAGATGCAGTGATTTTCAGTATCTTTTGTTAACATCAAGAGCAATGTGCTTATGCAACACTGAGCTCCTGTACACAAGCTCTAGGCCCTGTGTCTTTCCACCCTTGACCACAAACACCTGAGCATTCTGCAGTTTAATTCAGCTATGCATATTTATCTCAGTCAAATCTATCTGCTTCCCTATTTCCATTTGCTATTTTTATCATTTTAAGCTTGCTGTTTCCAAATTTCTGCTTCACACACCATCTTTAGAAACACCTTCAATAACTATCAGTGCCATAAACAGTCTAAATCTAGCACATTTCAACACCTTCTATTTGGAACTATACGTATGCCTGACCTAATAAAAATGAAGCAAATCTTAACTCTTTCCAACTCACCATTGCTGGGTAGAAAAGGATGAAAACTGCAGAGCCCAAGAAGCCCGTTGGACCCAGAATAATCACGTTATACACCATTCCTAAGATGGCCACAATAGGGCCCCCAGCCAACAAACTGCCAACAGCTGCAGCTTCAAACATCCTTTGACCATCATTGGAACACACATTTATGAGCTGAAAAATACATATAGAATATTAAATTTAAAGCACAGCTCCTTCTCAAAGAAATATATTGCATATCCCTTTCCACACTGCGATTTCCAAAATGATGCTGCGGCTTACCTCTCCAAGAGACTTCTCCTTGATGTTCTTCAGCTTAAGAATTTTCTTAAACGCCATTGTCAAGATAGCTCCACGCAGTCTAACCCCCGTGCGGTAATTCAAAGCCCATGTTAGCGCAAGAGACCAAGATCGCACTATTTCCGTCATAAAGATGCCAAAAACTAAAAACAAGCTGTACTGCAGGTTGGACTCACTCTGTTGGGTATACTCCAAAAGATGTTTCACAACGAACGCCTACAGGAAGAAATGCAAGCTTGCATGAACACCCCATCATCCCAGAAGACCATGCAACAACTTTATGTTAAGTTAGAAATAAGTAGGCTACTTTGCTTTTAAAAGAGCCGTTTGAAATAGAAAGCATCTTCTTTCTAGAAGTAAAAGGTGTCAATACAAGAAGTACTGTAACACAAAGCCCTGCTGAGAGCCAAGCACTGAGTCAAATTTAGTAAGTAAAGAGAGTTTAATTTGGAACCATATTCCTCGCAGCACGCTTCTAATCCTCCGTGTCTTCTAACTTAACATAAATCTGTCAGTTAGCTGAAAGCAATGCATTATCATATAGAAGAGTTTTAAAATATAGTCACTACTTAACACATCTGCGCACATTAAGAAACATTCCTTTACGTGACATTAAGACCTTTTTTATTTTACGTTTGGTTTGCTTCAAACGTGCTTATTTGATAAAAAGGAACAATGTACCTACAGTTGTAGAGGGGAAGAGTGAGAAGGACATTTGCAAAACATTCCTGGAAATAAACATCAGCAGTTTAATAGTAAAGAAAAAAACAAGCAGAAAGAACAAGGTACGCAATACCACAAATCATTGGGGACAGGGGAGGAAAAAAAAAAAAAAGAGACAAAAATGAACCATTTGATCCCTCCCCATACCCTCTTGCCCCAAAAACATAAACACTTTACCTCAGGAATCACATTTCAAACATCACCTGCAGAAAGAAGACAGCCCCAGAACCACCGGTTCCCACCTCCAGCTCTTTGTGGTCCAACGGCACAATGTAACATCATACAACTCACAATCACCAGCAATATTAAATACTATTGACTGCGAAACAACAGGCTTTTATTTGAAGTAAAGTGCCATCTTAAATGGTAACATCTCAAAAACACTGTACAACAGGTAGAGCATTGTGTAAACATACAATCTGCACGTACAGGATAATTATAAAGATCTAATAACTAACAGTCAGTCTTAGCCTCCAACAAACTAGGTTTGAAACTACACACAAAATTATAAAGATACAAAACCAGAACAGTATTTGTTCATGAAGTCCAAAAGAAGTCAAACTTGCAGGTGCCAACAGAGAAGGCTTCTGAGGCTGCACAAATTCTGAAATCTGGTTTAAAAAGTATCCTACAGTAAGGCTTCACAGACAGCAAAAGATTTCCTAGAGAGCTTTTCAACAAATGATGCTTTAAGATACTGGTGCTTTTGATATGCTAGTACAGAGCAGAGAATTACCTTTGCCCACAATAAAAAGCCACAAAAAAAAAATCTGAGACCAAAGAAAATATTTGAGAAGCCTTTCACATAACAGTCCGTTGAAGTCCTCTTGGCTAAACCAGGTTTTGCAAATAAGAGTTCTGTATAGTTTGAAGAAAGAGGAAAAAAACAAAACCCCGCTACTTCAGCAAAGGTATTGATAGCTACAGCCCAGCACCAAGTAACAGAAAAAAAAAGGAGATCAAATTCATCTGTTCTGAGGAAAATAATTCTGCACATAGAACCAAGGAAACATGCTGTAAATAATTTTGCTCTTTCTTTTTCACAGGTGCGAATTAGAGCCAGATGTCCATGAGGTTTAGAATGGTCACTGAGAAAATTTACATACCGATCCCTGAACAAATGTGAGGAGCTCACATTCACAGATCTATTGCATTCCAACCTTCTCCTTACTTGGATTTAGTTTTACATCCATTGTTTGGACCACAACTGCATACAGTTGGTTTGCAGCTACTAAGGAGATTACTGACTTCTTTTTCCAGTATTCAATCCAACATATGCAACCGAGTCACTGAGCAACTGGGGTGAAAATCCCCCTTTTTCCTCACGAGCTGTAACTCAGCATGGTCGCAGACTGTAAGCATTTTCTCGCACACCACAGCATTGCTGAAAGTCTCCAAGAGAGGATGTATAAAGATAGCAGATGTTTCCTGGGGTCTCATTCCTCCCAAAACTTTTTAGTGCAAATTTTCAGCACTATTTTATAGATTCAGCATCTCCCGTGATGAAATAGAGACCAGCTACATTATACCCCCATTTTTTTTCCCGGAAGAAAGAAAAGAGGAAACAGCAGATTAAAGAATTTGAAAAGGGAGGGGGGGGAAAAAAGTCACACAGAATTAACATTTGCATCTGGACACATACTATTTGAATTCAATCTAGTTTAATGACAAGAATCCACCATGAAGTTATTTACAAAAAAAAGTTACAGTACAAAAACTAAAACTCAAGCTAAGGGGGGAAAAGGAACTCCTGTGACTATTACCGTAGTAGTTGGTACTAGCTGCTCGGCTGTCTTAAGCATTCCCATTGAATAAACATTACCTTACCTTCGCTCTTGGCGTTGGCTCTGCTCAGCAGGACTGTCTCATTCTGACGCAGAAAACAGCCATCCTGAAAATTCTAAAGAACAGCTTCTGTCACTGGTCCCACTGCAGTGCCGGCATCCCTGCTGCAGCCAGTGTGCGACGGCACAGGGCAGGCTGCAACTGGAGCCAACTGGGAAATCGGGAAACTTACCTCCAACAGCTTACCACTCCCCCCTCCAATAACTGACCAAACTATCAAGCTGTACTCCACTAAGATAGCAAGTTTCCCCATCTCCCAAACAGGAAGAATAGCTCTGAACAGTTGCAAATGGGTACATTGTTCAGACCTGGAGTTAAACTGATTATGTTTAGTAATCAAAAAACTTCTTTGCTCCTCAACCCAAACTTGAAAGTTTTGGTAGCTGATCAAATGGCCACAAATATTCCCTGGAGATAAAGAATATCTCACCTATACTAGTACATTCTGATGGTTATTACAATGCAGTCTGACACAAGCAGCTGTCTCACCAGGTTACAGGTTTGGATACTGTGCCAGATGCAGAATTTATTAAACTAAAAAAGAGGAAGACCCTTGAAGGATCTATCTGATATTTAAAAGGCACCCACACAGGAAGGCTACAACAACTCCTTTCCAGTTATAACCATCACAATGCTCATTAGTAAAGCCACAGCTGTTGGCTGGCATTTCAAGGTCATAGACAGTCAATTAAAACTTCTGATGTTTAATATAGTGTTTAACTCCATTGTTATAATTTCCACCAATACATGAGGTCAAGTCAAGCGCTGTTCCCGATCTCCCTTTTCACCTTCAGGTGACTGAAAGGGTGTGACAATACAGGAAAGCACTGATACTTTCAGGAGGAGACAGCATAGGCATATCTGAGGCATGCCATTTTTTAAAACAGGGAGGAGGGATGGTAAAGACTTATTTTTTCACACCAAATGATGGAACCAAAAGGGAATTGTTCCTTATTCAGAGAAATGAATAAGGTTGCCTGTAAATGGACAAGTGTCTATAGATAATTTAAAATTATCTAAACCAAGCATCAGTTGCAGCAGTAGCCCCGAGCCTAGTCAAGTTGGTTTGTTTTTCTCCTTCCCCTCCCACTCTCATTCAGCAGTTCAGCTGAGACAAATTGAGAAAAATCACACTACAGAAGTTAGGGGCAACCCTGCTGCAAGCTCTTTGCTAAAGATAAAAGCAGCTACGAAAGCCCTGTAGTGAAACAATGACAGAAGCTCTTCTTGGGGAAAGCTAGTGCTGTTAAAACCTTAATCATGATTTATTGTTAATTACCAAAGTATGTTCATATATTTTATAATACAAGCTACTATAAACTATTACCAAGAAAACAATACCACAGAAACATTTATTGTTATTCAAGTTACATGAAACAAGGCAAATTTTAATAAGGCTTAAAAAGCAGAACATCATTTTGATAAGACATTTAAAAGCAGGAAAACATTTTAAAAAGACATTTCACCTAACAGTGCACCCAAGTGTACTTACCCAAGAAATGAACCTTCAGCTTACCAGCACACTGAAACGTGTACTACTAGCAGTAATACTGCTCCTACTCCTCAAGGGAAATGTGTAGAGAATAAATTTAGTCAAAATTTCAACTGTAAATCTGCACAGCACGTGCAACAAACAGGTGACAAAAAATGGTGTGAATGTCAAGTCCCATATGTTGTTATCTTCATTACGACCCATAGCAACAAACACCAGCAGTTCCTAGAGGCAATAATTTTCTCTAACGCTTCTACATGAAACCTGTCTGACCATTCTCTGTAGGATCAGTAAAGGCTATACCCACAGACTTTGAGACCTGCTCGCATTAGTTTTTAATTAGTGCTCTAATAAAATGGTTTCGTTCCACTCCTTGAAGACTGTGCTATTAATGCCAATAATCTAAGATTAGCATTTTATCAGACTGAATTTTATTCCAAGATAAATTTACAGAATTGCAAAAAGAAAAGGAAAACAATTAAAAGATCTGGACATAAGAGTTTTATGCAAGACCACCACATACCAGTTAAGGAAGAACTTTAAACTATATTCAAAACCAAAGAGAAAAAACAAGTGTGCATTGCCTCCAAGATACCTAATCTCCCCCTCCCTTCTCCAAGAACTTGCCTCGGTATTCAGCAACTGATCCACCAGCTGAAGAAAACCTATCTTGGATTATGGAATCACTCTGGAATTTTGCCCCAAAATTTCTAGCTAGTCAAAACATTTAAGTGATTCTGCAATGAAACCTTAAGATTTTACAGTTGGCCATGAGATGAAGCCCTCTGGGGTTGTTAAAAAAAAGGATGGGTATTACTTACTGGTCCACTAAAACCCGCGAGCTGTGTGATCATCAGACACACGATGGAAATGATGAGCCTGGTACGGCAGAAAATCCACACAACCCTCCGGAGAGAAGCATCATCGGGCCCACTTTCTTTCAGTTCTTCCTGCCACAATCTCTCCAGCCTAATAAAAACAAAAGCTTCATGTTATAAATTTTTCACCATGAGAGACAGTACAATTTCATAGGTACTTCATGAAAATTCCAAGCACTTCCTAGCTCACAGCAACAAAAATTACTGGATAGCAAGAGAAATAAATACATGGTACATTTTGTGAAGTAGAGAGAAATATCTGCATCTTGAAATATCTATGTTGTGTTACTTCTACAGAAGCGAGGGATGAAAAACTCAATGCCTTTTGCTTCGCCTGGAGCGTCTTTGGCAATCTTAATACACTGACTTGACAGTCTTTCATTGCTGATCTGACAGAAGAGTTGTGGAGTCAAACCCTGAGAAAAGTTCTCATTAGCCATAAAAGGTTAGCCTGATCACAAGATTTGACCCATATTCAAATTACCTTGCTACTGTCAGTATGACTTTTCATTACTTTAGCACAAGATTTTTCAGTGCAGCCTTAAGAAACAACTTTGTTTTGATAAAAAAATAGTTTAAAGACATGCAAAATCAGAAAACAATTGCAAAACACTCCTGGAGACAGAATCCTCTAAGTCACTGAAGCTAGCAAAAGTATAGAAACCGTGCAGCAGGAAGAAGTGGTCTATGAAGGACAAAACTCACTATTCTGAGAAAGTTAGAACAAAATATCAGTGCTGCTTTTCTAGGGCAATACAACATCATTGCCTGTTAACTACTGCTTGGGATGAGTGGCTGGAAAGCTGCCCAGTGGAAAAGGACCTGGGGGTGCTTGTTGACAGCCGGCTGAACGTGAGCCAGCAGTGTGCCCAGGTGGCCAAGGCGGCCAACAGCATCCTGGCTTGTATTCAGAAATAGCGTGGCCAGCAGGAGCAGGGAGGTGATCATCCCCCTGTGCTCGGCACTGGTGAGGCCGCACCTCGAATGCTGTGTGCAGCTTTGGGCCCCTCACTGCAAGAAGGACATTGAGGTGCTGGAGCATGTCCAGAGAAGGGCAACGAAGCTGGTGAAGGGTCTGGAGAACAGGTCTGATGGGAAGCGGCTGAGGGAACTGGGGGTGTTTAGTCTGGAGCAGCAGAGGCTATGGGGAGATCTTATCGCTCTACAACTACCTGAAATCAGGAGGCTGTAGTGAGGTGGGGGTCGGTCTCTTCTCCCAAGTATCAAGTGATAGGACAAGAGGAAATGGCCTCAAGTTGTGCCAGGAGAGGTTTAGATTGGACATTAGGAAAAATTTCTTTACTGAAAAAGTGGTCAGACATCAGAACAGGCTGCCCAGGGAGGTGGTGGAGTCGACATCACTGGAGGTGTTCAAAAACCATGTAGATGTAGTGTTTTGGGACATGGTTTAGTGGGCATGGTGGTGTTGGGTTGATGGTTGGATGTGAAGATCTTAGAGGTCTTTTACAACCTAATGATTCTATGACTAAAAAAGGAAACAAGAAAATAACAAGGAACAAAGTGTCTCTACCTTCTACAATTGACATCTGAAGACTCATGCCTTGATAAAGACCATACATCATCCATAAACAATTCCCCTTTCTTGTACGCTCTGTGTGCCAAAGGAGTGAGCCAGGAGAAGGTCATGCAGGAGAAAAGTCCAGCATTATCAACTGGGTGCTGGTGTCTAAAAGAAAAAAAAAAATCACAAACAAACGGAAAAGGAAACAGAATTGTAAAATCCCTGAGAAAAACAAAGCCTCCACTCATTGAAAGAACTCAGAGTACCAAACAGCCCATGCCAGTCATACTTGCTAAACAAATTCTGATGTTTTCAGTATCAGTCAGCAGACCTACAGCTGCAATCCTACTTTGTGACTGGTTTGACAAGCAAATGCTGTATCAGTTCTTTTGTAGCCTAAAGACTTACTTGGAAGTAGTCCGAATAGGTTTCAGCACATTCAGGCCATGGTGGTATTTGCCCTTGTGATGCTCTTCGTCCAGCATTCTCAGCTGGGAATGCACGGAGGTGTCCAGTGGCAGGCCCTCTGCCCGAGCAGCTGCTTCCAAGGCATCCTGGCATTCAATCTGCTTTTACAAGACAGACAGCAGAGTCAGAGTTCAAAACTATGTTTTAAGTCCAGGACTCCTGACTCCAGCAACTTCACACCTCTTTTTTCAGCATATTATTGCACAACAGCAACCACTATCATTTACACTTCTCAGAGGACAGGCTTCAGCCTGGCAGCAAAGACATGGAAGGCACACATTCTAGATCCACATTACATTGCTGCATTTGTAAAACATAAATTAACACCAGTATTTTGCCTGTACATTCAAAGGATAAATGGACAGACCAGACTAATCTTGCATCCTGCCACAGGAAACACAATAGAGAAAAATTATAAAATCGAGTACCTATGACATTAGTTCAGGAAATCAATGACTAGCTTATGAATTTACACCCTCTTAGTGCAATTTAGATATTCTTATCACAGAAAATTCAAATTATTTTCAGAATACTACTGAAGTCCCTTCTTCAAAAATACCTTGGATTAGGTCAGAAAACGAATACGCATTAAGCAGAATTGTACTTTCTTTTATCACGTTTCCTGCTTTTTCTCTTTTTCCTTAAACTAAAGGGAACACAGATGACAATTTTCTCTGTTCCCAGCCACGCTTCTCAATGGCTCAGCAACTTTATTAACAACCACTTAAAAGGCAAGCCTTATCTCAGGGGAGTCTTTCCACAGCCCTAGTGAAAGGCAGACCTAAATGCTAATCTAAGAGGAGAAAGGAAACAGCAATAGTATGGAGCAGTCAAAATGTTGCAGAGTTCAAACAAACCTTTTGATCAGGAGCTAAAAAACTATCAGAGGAGATTAGCTTGCTATCTATACTCGCAGAGGGCTCACTACTGATTCTCCTAACTTAACAGACCATTTTTTACAGTGCCACGTTACCTGTCTGTATTCCGTTTTTTTTTTTTTTTTTTGAAATAGAGTTACTTTTGGAAAAAAACTCAGTTCCAACGTAAAAATCTTCCTGGCTGTCTCAAACAGAGATGCTGTGTTTATCCTTGTTAGTTGCCTTAACAGAGCAATCTTATTCCTTTTAAAAGAGCAACAGTAAGTGCCTTTTAACCTCCTACAAGCACTGTATCTGCAAAGCACTAAATGCATATCAATAGCAAGCACTTGGTTCCTAACTTCACATCACAATTTTTGTCAGAAATGACACCATTCATCTGAGGCTTAGTCTGTACTACATTAACATACAAGCATGCAGCACATTAAGACACCTAGCTTCCCCCCATGTGAAAGACAAGAACAGGAAATTGATAAATAGCATAAATCTGTCCTTTATTTATCTAACCAAAGTACTTAAACAGTGCCTAAGCATATTGTCAACAATCCATCGGTCCTCATCTCAAAAATCTAAACCTAAAACTGTGATTACAAAAGAAGATAGCAAAGTAATATGAAAACAAAAGAGCATTACAACATTATGACACATGGAGTGACTCAAAAATATGCAACGCTTAAAATCTGAATTAAAAGACTTCTCACTCAATTTTACTAAATCACTGACTCACTAAGGGCAGTACTGCCTTACTAAATCTACCCAAATCAGCATTAATAAGGGACTTGCCAAAGACGTCTCAAAGGACTCAGCAGTAGGGAAAAGTTCTGCACCACTGCTTTTCTGGTTACAGCAGAGGAATTCATAGCTAGTTTGCTATGCTACCCTTGGCAAGAGCCCCAGGCGGATCTGCCCAAACACCCTATTGCTGATAACGTGCTTGTTTGTAAGTGATGCCCACAGGCTATTTGCAGAATCGTTGTTTTTCAGAGCACACAATAAGTGCCTGTAAGTTAAAAAAGTCTTCCAAAACAAAAAACACTATTTGACAGCAAAAAAAGTTTTTCAGCACTTACAAACAACAATAATACCTTTTTAATAAGAAAGCACAACTACAAGATACTGTATTTTTAGGCTGTGCAAAGATAACGTACTTAAACACTCTCACTGTGAAAAATAATTGAACTCTCCAGAGCTGCTCAACAGCATTCTCTCAGCAAAGGTGGAAAAGATGCACTGATAAGAGACTAAGGCACTGCCTTTGAAAGGCCTTTATAACTCCTTGCCTTATAAGCAAGTGTAAGCGCAAATCCCTACTTGAGAACATTGCTCATCTCCACCTTGGCAAGGTCATCAAAATCCCCACATACAACTATCAAGAAACAAACGCATCACACCACTGTACAATTAAGGTTCTAAGAAAGACCATACAGTTCTGCATCACATTAGAAAAATCTTCAAAGCATGAAGTTTATCAGGAAGAAACGAGCACTCCCAAGCAGTTCTGCAATGCATTTTAGAGCAAAAGACTAGAATACAAAAACTAGCAACAACCCCAGCACCGTTAATTTAGGTTTCTGAATCATTATTTTTCAGGTGTTCATCAACTGGCGGTATCCCAATTGCCTGCACGCATGTACAGCTTTCTTTGAAAATAAAACCTTGAAGAAGTCATTAGCAATGTGATACAACAGGCTCCAGCACTGGTCTTGAAAGAAATGTCTAATAAATCACGACTGCACTATCAAACAGAAATCAGACAGCAGTTTTTCTAATTCAGCCACTAATTAGTATATCAATACAAGCAATGAAGTAGGCGATACAATACAGCATTGACAACTCTAAAGAAACGCTCACAAAAAGAAAACAAGCCTAAATCAGGTATCACTAACTGGAGATAGAGGGAAATCATTCAGACATTTCTTGAAAAACAGCAGCTCACTAATCATCATCATCAAGAACAAAAGACAATGAAGAATTGTTACAAAGCAGGAAACATTACCATACCACTACGGTTTGTCTCCTTTTTGAACACCAGTCAGTCCCCTGTCACTTCAGTTCAAAAAGGGTATTTCTGCGAACAATGAGAATAGTAGGGATTGGATCAGCTTCCACACAAGCATAAATTTAAGACTTTTCAGCTGAACAGAAAAGAGGAATAAAGATATGGTACAGGTATTTGAGAGGTCCATAAAGTCATGAATGACATGAAGAGAACTAGAGAATGATCACCAATTGTTCTTACAACAAAAGAACTGGGGACACTCAGTGAAATCAATGTTTTTCACACAAGGCACACTTAAATTTAGAATTCTCTGCCATAGGATGCTGTGAAGTTCAAATGCACAAATGGACTAAAAATGGGAGAATTAAATTCACAAAGGATAAGCGTATCATGCTCATCAAATGCATGACAGAGGGCAGCAGCAATCATTTACCCAGTATCTTATTAATAGCTGTTGGATTCCAAAAATGTTTCTGAAGCCATAGGCAGCTCCTAACAGAGGGTAATGGTTCTGCACTCCACATTTTATGAAGCTGTGGCACACCTAGGTGCGGGGTGATATGAATCAACAGATAACTGGGAAAATCAACAGATGAAGAAAGCAGTTAAACTTTTAATCCCGATGGCAACCCCTAAGAGCATGGAGAGTGCTGAGGAAGTATCACTACACACATGATCTTGTCTTGTTCTTTTACCTTCACAGCCAGCTCCCAGACAGACAAAGAGAAGCATGGCTGGTGCTGCTACCACAGAGCACACCTGCCCCCTCTGACTTTCTGCAACTTGAAAGAGCAACAAATTCCTACCAGCACCTGTTACCATGATTTCCTTGTCCAACTAATTGGCCATAGCAACAGTAAGCACATAAGGTAATGTGAGAGCCAGAAAGATGACACAGTTGGCTCAAGACATGTCATGACAAAGTCTGGGTAAGGTGAGGAAAATAAGTTGTTTAAGGGCAAAGAAAAAGATTTGCTCATTAAATTAGAGACAGCAGTATCAAATTCCCAATCCACATACCAAGGTCATGTAAGGCAGCCATGAAAATGCAGACAATGTAGGAGCCAAGCTACAAAGTTGTCAAATATACATGATGTCAGAGGTAAGCAAGACAGAAGAGAAGCATCAGGAACATTACACAGAAAGACAAGCAAACTCAAATACATGAAACAGGACACTTCTGAAAACCTGCTAAGTAGCCAGCATGGCATTTATCTCTGAGGATGGGGAGCAGGTGAAGAGAAAGGAGGCAGCCATGTTGTATGGGGGGATGCCTTCACACAGGCAATCTCATATTTAACAGAGACAGTAGCAATTTATTGGTTTGACAACTGTAACATCAGATAACAGCAAAATGAGACAAGCCTGGAGGCCAAGCAAAACAGATTTTTCCATCCCTTACTCATCTTGCAGAGAATGAATCTGATGTGTATGCAGTCAATATTATGACCCAAACCCCAGCCACCAAACAACTATTGTTTCCTCTTCCAGAAGGCAGAACATCTTCCAGGGCTCAGATCACTGCAGGGAAGAAGCTGCATCCCTTCTGGTCCTACTGCTACCCAAGGGAAAACTAGAGCAGACACATAAAGGCTTCTTTTATTAATCCTTGTAATTGATATTGAAGACAAAAGCTGTTGTGGTTGATTTAAAGTTGTTTTATTTAAGTAGTAAAGAACAGACTTGGCAATGCTGCAGAACAGGAACTCCCACCTCTTGCATTTAGAAGGTAGAGCTCAGCAGGCTTCCTCACTCCTTTGTTCAAGTTCCCAGTAAGTAGAGGCAAACGGGAAACTAACAGACCAGCACAACAGAGCCCAGGACTAAGAGGGCACATGAGAACTATATGATCACCAGTTCTGCTCAGTGCTTAAATCATTCTCTGTATTACAACTCCAGGATGAACGGCAGTTGTAAAATATTTAAGAGGCTTCATTCAAGGACTGGTGTTTCAAAACAAGATCAGTTATTAGTTTGTACAGGCTGGGGAAGAATAAGATCAACTGCTCCAGTTAGCTTTAGGATAACCAAACCAAAATAAAACAATGGTCTAGGAAGAGGTATTCCAAAGTTGCAATTACATCCCTCATCCCAGAAATTCTTCCAAGTCTTTCCAAGCACAACCCCACTTGAAAGTAGGGGTTTTGCAGGTAGCATAGGCAACCCCTATAGCAGCGTTGTCCAGACTTCTGGAAGTCAAACCCAGGAGCATCCAAAA